GATATAAAGAACGTCGAAAACGGAGTTTATATAAAAGAGTTACAAATTATAATAACATATTTACATATTAAAATAAAGTATAAATCATATATACATACATAGATATATACGTATGTATATATCATTAGAAAGGTATCGACGATGCAATCATTATAACACTAATGTTGAGTTTTTTCGAAATGAGTTTAGTACAAATATCATTAAATCCATTTAAAATAGTATTATAGAGGGGTGTTTAATTGTTTATATAACTAAAAGGTCATTAAGTAATTATGGAGGGTAGTTTCTGAGAATTTAAGTAGTATAAATAAGAGCCTTGGGCTCTCATATTTCTTGCATCATTCTCTTGATTCAAGAGTCTTTCTCTCCTTATCCCCTGAGCATTTCGGTCTCTCGCGATTCGACTTCTCTTTCTGTACTTTTAATATAGTAAGGTGAGCGCTGAAGCACTGCACGAATCTTTCTTAGAAAGATTCAGCGACGAAGTTATACCCCTGCAGAGCCCGACTCCTAACTAAAATCCCCTTGTAAGTAAGTTATGTTTACCCTATTTTAAATATAGTTTATATTTAAAATTAGTATTGTTATTATAAATTTATAATAAATATTTAAGCTATTATTATGATTTATATAAGTGTCGTTATAATATCTTTTTAACTACTCGCGCTACGGGGAATCTGGTTTAAAGGGCCGCATAGGGTTGTTAGATTTCAAAAGTGCTATACACTAAAATGGTCTTGTCCTCCGGTGTTTTATGTCTGGCCCCTATCTGTACATAGTGGTTGGAAATTATTGTTTAAACGCTTATATTATTATAATAATAATAATAATAATAATAATAATAATAATAATAATTAGTCAAGGTAAATATTAGACTAAAATCTAGTCGTATTAATACTAGGTTTCGTCGAAGGAAATTATTTTAAAGTAAACGAAACGTTGTCCGAGTACCGAGTCACCACCTTCTCAGGTGAGTGCTTAGTTACTTTCATCTCACACATAGATATGAAGTATTTAATATATATTACGTGTTGTGAGTGCATAGTTACTTTCATCTTACACATAGATATGAAGTATTTTATATAAACTACGTGATATGTGTGCATATTATCTGAATACTTGTTGTTTATGCTGGATGAATGTTTTTTTATACATGTTTTAAATGATTTGAACTGTATACGTATTTTAAATATACATGTATGTTGGGTATGAGATGGGTAGATGAATGATGAGAGATAAAAAAATGATGTGAGTAAACATTGGCAACTATAGACTTAGTGCCTAACAAATAACATCGGCAGCTATGGACTTAGTGACTATTAGACAAACACTGGTAGCTATGGACTTAGTACCTGTTAGGAATTTGTAGCTATGGACTTAGTACCTATTAGATAAACACTGGTAGCTATAGATTTAGTATCCAACAACTATGGATTAGTGCTTTACGAACGAGCATTAGCAGCTATGGATTTAGTGTCAGTCCTATAACTCTGGAAGCAAAGGACTTCAGAATGAACGAATGCGGGATAGATGACTCTTAGGATAGATCCTTAAGAGTAAAGAAGATAATGGCGATGGGTAATTGGGTCGATTTTTTGATTGTTTAAACATAATAATTATATTATTGTGGGTTGAAAACCCTATGTACTCACCAGGTTTCCCAACCTGACCCACTCAGTTTATTTATATTACAGATATTGAGATGAAGTCACATTACACTGAGAGATTAAAGAGATGTAGATCACTAGTGTAAATAAATGTAAGTTTTGTTTATGCTTATGTTTCTGTATTGACGATGACATCCCAAATGTTTTAAAATGAATAAAAAATATTATTTTTCGGAAATGGTTTGATAACGTATTTATCATGTTTTACTGGGTACAAATTCCGCAACATTTTTATTAAAAGAGGTACTCTGATTTTTATAAAGCATAAACAAAATCGGTTTTTTCTGGCCGTGAAAATGGGGATGTCACATTTAAAATTTGTGCCAAAAGTGTAATTTTTAAAAGTTATATGACTTATTGACCTAGTAAAATGGTTGAATTGAATACAATTACCGGTTTTGGAGACTTAATTGAATAAAAAATATATATGATGACTAAATCGATTATGAAGCCAATATGTAAGGATTTTTTTGCAATTTTCGCATATTGTTTTGACTAACACTCAACTGATTTTAATTTCGATTTTTGTGTCACATACTTTGTAGTGTGTTGCACCGAAGTTTCAAAAAATCATAACTTCATCATATGAAGTCAGATTTTAACGTTCTTTATATGTACACTTTCGTAATTTCAATTAATACGACTTTCATGTAGATTACTTAGACTAATGAGAAATCTATCTCCGATTCATTTTTTATGACACACTTTGTCGTATATGGTTGAACGTGAAACTTCGAAGAATCATAACTTTTTCATACGAAACAAGATTTGGGCGTTCTTTATACCCACAAAATTGTCATCAGGCAACTACAACTTTCATTAAGATTATTTATCCTAGGTAATCTTTTATTTTTAAACATTTATTTAACTTAATTCGATAAATTTTATAATATGTTTTTTACAAATAATATAAACTCAGAATATTTGTCCATAAAACATGTACGCAATATTTAGATATCCTTTATATAAATTGTATCGCGTACAAAGGATTCATAATTATATACGATTATCCGATTTGAGGATTTAGTTATTCAATAAAGCGAATATTTATAATTTAAAATTCATAAAACGTCTGGTCCAAATTCAAAGAAATTACAAACACCATATTAGCAATAATGGAAAACAATTTAGAGGAAACCTCTTCAAAGAAAGGTGCTCCATCATGAAAATTTAACAAACATTCACCTCAATAATACATCCACAGGAAAATAGCCAAACAAAAATTACTAATAGAACAATTTGGAAAGGATCAAAGATAAGGCTAACAAGGGCCCTCGTTTACAGATCTCTCTCTCTCTCAAAAAAAAAAAAAAAAAAAAAAAAAAAAAAAAAAAAACTAGTTCAAACATATCAAGTGACCAAGACCAACTTCAATACATGAGAAACAAAAATAGACCTACGATCCAATTTGGACCTCCTTCAAGAAAGGCAGGAAGTACCAGCCTTAAGACAAAGCAACTTATAAATACTAAACCGAGAAGTACTACAAGAGTTATGTTAAAGAGAGACCCTACAAGGTAGAAGGCCTAGTACTTTAAAAAATGAAGCTAGTAGTGGTGAAGATCAAGGCAAGTTAAGTCAAATATTTAGTGGTCCTTACAAAGTAATCAGAGCCCATCTCCACAGGTCTCACGTGCTCGAGACACTCCAAGGTATTTGGGTTCCATACACATGGAACATAAAAAACCTAGGAAACTCTCTTGGAGATTAAGTGTTCTTGATCTTTTCTTGGGTTGCTTGTGCTTAATCTTTTTTAAATCTGTTGTTTTTGTTGATTTTCGTTATGGGAAAGAATCACAGAAGTCGTACATCCTCAAAAAAATCTAAATCTATTGTCAAAGGGGTTGATGTTCTTGGTTCTTTTCATTTTGAAGATAGCCCTAGTTCATCATCATCAGCTATCTTTGTTAGAAGTCATATAATCTGGAGGCAGAAGTAGAAAGTTTAGATGTGGGGAATGTAGAAGCTCGTCAAGTTCACAAGAACGGAGAAGCACCAGATAATCCTAGAAAGAATGAAGATGCTAAGGGTGTTCTTATTGTTCAAGGTGGTCCAGAGAAGGAAGGTGATGAAGTTGTCTCTCAAGATCAGTCCCGTCTTCTTTTAGTGGGAGAATCTGATTTAGTTCATGGAATTAACGTTGGTGATGAGGTTGCTGCGGTTTCCCATTATGTTGTGGATGTTAAGAAGAACGAAGAACAAGTTCTCGATGGGGGGGGACGAACAAGCTGGCTTCGTTAATGGGGTTTCTCAAGATCCAGTTAACCCTCTCAAAGCTTTACTCGTTGATCCCCAAGCACCCCCTGACGTTACTGTTCTTGATGGAGGGGCAAAGAATTTTTCTTCTCCAGCTGCTTGGGATGAGATTTACGCCATGGCGCTCCTCCTTAAATCTCCGGCCATGTTTCTGGCGCTCCATCGTCGTTCACGCCTAAGTCGTTGAATGCCTCGCCGGCGGTGGCTGTCGCTCGTTTCAATACCAACTTCCGGTCGAACGAGTGGATTGTGCGCAAAAGGAATTCTCGAAGAATGAGGCGTCGGGTTCCGTTTTTGTCCACCCTCCACGCATTTATTGCCCTTCCTCAAATGGTGAATTAGCTTTAATTGCTTCCGGCCCCACCCTTTATCCCCTGGTCACGTGATTCTTGAATCCCCTCCTCTTCCGAAATTAGGTGACCCTTCTTTTCTTCATTATGGGCCCAACAGCCCAAATATTGCCAAGCAGCCTCTTTCTTTTGCTGATGTCTTATTGGGCAAGCCCAATCCCACTCCAGTTGGGCCTAACTATCCTGAATTCGTTGCTGATGGCCCATCATGCAAGAATGCTTCCTTTAATTTGCATCACGTCGATATGCACTCTATAAACCCCATAAAACTTGATTTTGTTGACATTGTGGATTCCTTGGATGATGACTTTTTAATTATCCCTCCGGATATCATGGCTGGAAGCATTCCGTATGAACGAACTTTATATGGTTATTTCATTGGAAAAAGGCTTGCATTTCCGCTTGTTAAAGAAAGACTCCAAAACTTATGGAAGGAACGCGGAATTTCCGACATCTTTATTAACGACGACGACATGTTCTTTTTCAAGTTTAACAAGATAATGGCTTGAATTATGTCCTTCAAAAAGGAATTTGGAAGATTAATGGTATCCCGCTCTTCTTAAAAAAATGGGACCCGGATGTTTTCATTGAAAAACCAACACATGATCGGGTTCCTGTGTGGGTTAATATTTTTGGTATTCCTCTCCAACTCTTTAACAAAGATGGTCTTAGCCTCAATGCAAGCAAACTTGGAAAACCGTTAGAGGTTGATTCTTACACCACATCCATGTGTGAGCGGGCTACAGGTAGAGCGGTTTATGCTCGTATTCTCATTGAGATGTCGGCTAAAGATCCTTGGGCTAAAGAAATTAAAATCAAAGCATTCACGGCTAAAGGAGCAACCTCTACCTCCCTTCGAGTGGAGTATTCTTGGAATCCTATGAGATGTGACAATTGCAAATTTTTTGGTCATGATCATGCGACTTGCCCCACTCAACCGAATAGCGCTCTGGTCCGAACCACACTTCCTAAAGAAGTTGACAATGAAGGTTTTCAAACGGTCAAAAAAAGAACTAGAGCCATCCCTATCCCTAAAAAGATGGTTCAAGTTAACAATCGTAAAGATAAAGGGCCCGCTCTAAAAATCGTTCAAGTCTACAAGCCAATAACGCATGACTCGAAGAAAAAGAATGTGTCGTCTAACATGTTTGATGCTCTCTCGCATCAAAAAATCGATGACTCTGAAGACGACACTAGCATCCCTCCTGTCTCCCATCTAAGAGATAACCTCCAATCTTCCGATATACATCCGAGTTCTTCTCACGGCGGCCATATCTCTCCTCCAGTTGACCAGGGTTGATGTTTTAGGTCTTGTTTAGCTAGGTCTTTGCTTTGTTTTGTTTCCCTTGCTTTGGGGCATGTCCCTTAGCTTGGTCTTGTTTTTTATTTTTTCTTGGGCGTTTGACGTCCTTTTTTTTGTAATCTCTTTTTTATTAATAATATTTGCTAAGGGTATTCCCTTTTATCCAAAAAAAGAAAAAAACCAACATAAGTATAACTTCTAAAAGAAATGATATTGTTTCTTTCCCTGTCTTGCAAAGCTCGAACCTTGTTATTTATTATTGGAAAATCTTCAGAAAAATCCTAAAATTTTAATCCAATTTATGAAAAAATCTCAAACTAAATTTTGTTTAGAGAAAAACACAAAATACCGGTTAAAACTTCGAAAAAACCATTTTCGTCCGGTTTCGCAGATTTAACCGGTATTCTGTCATTTCTCATTAGTTTGCTCCAAATTTTAGGACTTTTTCGTAAGTTACCCGATAACCAAAATATTGAGATTTTTCTGAAAATTATCATGAAACTAATGGATATTATAATTAACAAATATTTTTATTATAAAAAAAGAAAATACATTTGTTGCAAATTTATAGGAATACATTGGTGGTCTAAATACTCCCCTATTATTTGTTGATAACTTCAAACTTTCTACGTTCCTCCTATGTATCATTGTAGGTATGATGGTGGAAGTACTCAGTGAGTGTTCATCTACATTTGGTGTTCCTCTTATGTTGTTTAACCTAACTATCACCCAAAATTCATACCTCACATGGTAACAATCATTAGCTAACACACATCTATCAAATGTGAAAAAGTAAACTGTGAATAATACTTTTATTAGATTAGATGTCTAAGCCTACAACTATCATTGATATAAATTTGAATTGATAATAGCACAGTTCATTTAGGTTGCCCTCAAACGTAGAAATTGAATATGATAGCTTTTAGAGAGAGAGATATATATATTGATTTATTAATCGTTGTTATCAGGTAATGTATGGAGGTTAAGTGGTAATTAGGTTAAAGAACATAATGAAAGATCTATATGTTCAAAAATCATTGTGTAATGATATTTTCTAATAATATGTGAACATATAGCATCACGCATAATAAGTAGACACTTATTGATTGTATATTAACAAAATATTATCAACTCTTGTATTTAATTGAAGAAACTTACATAGTATATCTCCATATGACACCCACAACGATACATAAGAGGAATATAGGGAGTTTGAAGTTGTCAACAAAACAATTAAGAAGTACCTAGTCGACCATTTTATTTATAGAAATTAACAACAAATGTATTTAATTTGTTTATAATAAAAAATATATGTTATGTATATAAATGATTTTTTAATAATAATATCTATTAATTCCATAGTAATTTTCAAAAAAAATCCTATTATTTTGGTTATCGGGTGATTTTCAAAAAAATCCTAATATTTTGAGCAAGATAATGAAAAATGACAGAATACCGGCTTAATCTCTTAAACCGGCCAATAAGAGTTTTTTTGAAGTTTTAACCGGTATTATGTGCTTTTCTTTAAACAAAATTTAGTTTGAGACTTTTTCATAAATTGGACTAAAATTTTAGGGCTTCTCTGGAGATTTCCCTTTATACATCCGTAAAGTTTCCCTTGGCTATCCCAGTAGCCATGAAGTCACTCTCGATGACATAAGAGGGTGTTTGATCAAACTTTCACTAAGCTAGCCATAAGATACGTAGTGGATGATTCAACCTTCACCACCAAGGGAAACAAATCTTTATTCCATCTAATCCCACCATTTGGGAAAACACATTACATTTGAAGCAATCATTATTGCATCTGATCCCACCATTCGGAGAAACATGTATTACATTTTTAAACTAATGTGATTACAAAGAGAAAAAACACAAGTCTATATTTCCTCTCAAAATGCAAGACAAAGTCTATTCTCGGTTCGTTGATTTTAAATGCCTTATGCAAATAATAGAAAATGAGTCTCTAAATATAAGGAAGCCGATAAGTCTAAGAACTTACAGACAAAGCAAGGTTGTTATGACTCGAACCTTGGTTATTTATAAGGAGAAAATATAAGGCACATCGTATACGACACATTTTGTTAAATTTCTACACTACAGGAAGTTTGGGTAAATTTTTACATAAACAATTATACATATTATATTAACTATATAAATTGGTTAAAACTCGGACCCTAATTTTTCGGGGTCATGTACGAATTACGATTGAACACCCTTCAGCATTTTAGGGTTGGGCCAACCCCAAGCCAAACATAAGCTAAGGCCTTCTTTAAATGGATGAAGACTATAAGAGAAAATGTCCACATTTATCCAATTGTTTTAGGCTTTAAATTTCATAATTTTACCCGAAACATTTTGTAAAAATCTAACATTGTCTACAAAACATTTAGCTTTACTTTAAATGTTAAAATGGTAAATAAAATGCTCATATTAATACAAAGCTTACTTTTGAAGTGATATCAGCATACCCAATATTTAACTATGTTTTAATGTTAAATGGTAAGTTAAATGTTCATATTAATAACAAAACCATTTATTAAATATTCAGCATTTATTTATTTTTATGGTTAAATAAAATCTGTTTGTGAATTTTAAAGAATATCAAATTCAATATATTTAAAAAAAAAAAGAATGAGAATTTTAAACATGATTATTAAAACTTGTTTTTTTAATAATGTAGTTTCTAATTTTTCCTTTTTAATAGTAACGTACTTTCTATTTTTAACTTTTCATAGTAATATATTCGCTATTTTTCTGTCAAATTTTACCATAACCGATAACAAAACCTCATTAACCGATAAAATAATACTAAAATAGATGAGAAAATTTTATTAAACATTTCACAAAAATAAATGTAAAGTAGTTAATATTAAAAAAAATAATAATAATGATCGATTTAATAGGTTTTTGCTTAATAAAGTTACTAAAAAAATATGAGATAAATCAAAAAACTGTGATATCATTCCCACTTAGGGGTTGTTTGATAAGCTCTTAATGCTAATCAAGCAATAAACATGAAATAGAGTGTTGAAGAGGAAAAAGAGCATCAGAACAAAACTCAGAAACCACAGAAGACCAATAAGAAATTGTGATTTCTATGTCATTAGGTTAAGAAACTAAAGATCAAGATTAGCATTAAGTTTCAGATTTTTTCCTTAATTTTGTCCATGGTTACTTGTTTTATTATGTATGCATTTCACATGAGATAGCACGAAGCAAACATACAACAGAAAAGCTACTCTTGAGTTCTTCAAATCAAGGAAGTTTGGTATTTACAGCAATAAAATCATTGCCATGAATTCATATAAGGAACAGGGAAAACAGGGATACAAACTCTGTGTTCAAGATAAGCGAGAAATGCATACATACCATTTCTTAAACCCCATCACCGGATGTTGTTGATGTTGTTGTAGCCATGGAGGTTGATTTCTTCTTCCTATCTTCTTCATACTCAGGATCATCTGTAGGCAACTCGTACCTACAAACAGGACAAGTGTTCCTTGAACCCAACCAAGGCACTATACAATCTTCATGATACATGTGTCCACAAGGCAATTGCTTCACAATCTCCTTTTCGTTGTTAAACACTTTATCTTTACATATAGCACAGACTTCCGTATAAGTTGACTTCACTTCAACGGTTGGCAACGCTTCCACTGCAGATTTCGCCGCCGGTGGAGCTCCTCTCTTCCCGCCGCTATCACTTTCAGCTAGGTTTTGCAACAATGCTTCGTATCCGGCAGCATCAACGTAATCGCCTGGATTGCCTACGTAACCATCACCATCTCCCGGAAGTTGAAACCTAAATTCGATCGAGTGATCTTCGAGCCCCATTAGGATCTCAGCCCAATCGAGAATCCGGTTGCGACGGCTTAAAGCTCGGGTAGCGAAGTCACGGAGACGAAGACGGATGACATCGCGCCTTTGTCTTCTACGGGAATCTTCATCTTCCCCTTCGACGAGCTCTTGTTCCTCTTCGTTGTCATCAGATCCATCACGATCCCGATCTCCTTGGTTATGATTTTCATCACCTTCGTCTTCGTTATCATCGTCGTCGTCGTCGTCATCGTTTTCATCCCATCCGTCGAGTTCAATTTGGAGATGATCGCTGTCGTCATCCGCGCGGTCAGAAGGAGGCAGAGGAGGCGCGTCACCATCACGCGCAGCCTGAGCGATTAACCTAAGGACCTGAAGAAACTCGTTGCCGAAAGCAGGTTGGTCCTCATCGTTTACTTCAAGCGCTTGAGGGTGATGGGCGGAGATTAACTCAACAAATCCATTCTTGCATTCGAAACATATAACATCGGGCTGATCGGGTAGGGTTTCGACCGGAACCCGTTTGTTGCACTGGTAGCACCAGTATTGTGTAGGATCAGGATTAATAGGCGCTGACGGAGGCATCGGTGGTGGTGGCGGTGGCGGCGGCGGCGGCGTCTGGAACGATGACGGAGTTTCGGCCATTTTGTGGTACGAGAAGATCAAATCATTAACTCCGAGGAGAGTGTGGTGAGGAGTCAAAAGAAGAGAATTTGGGGAAACCTGAAGTTTTATACGGCTAAGTGCTAAGTGCTAACACAAGGTTAGCACTATCTATGTGAGCTTTTAAACGTTTTGACTTTATTTTTATTTATAGTTATTGAAGGGATAAAGATAAAATCACTAAAAATAAATAAAGACAAAATTTCAAGTTTTTCCCAATGGTTTATAAAAAGTAGCATTGTAAGGATAACTATAAAAATGTTGTATTTAGATGGTGGGATAATGACTTAAAATGTAATATATTTTTTTGATTTTTATATATTTGGTCACTGAGTTTTTTTTCGTTCATATTTACCCCTTTCAACTTATTAAACTGTATATATCCAGTCCTTATGATCGGTTACTCCAGGTTAGCCGGGAAAAATAACTTATTAGAGTAATATATTTATCATTTTGTACACATTTAGTCATTAATATTTTTGTACACATTTAGTCATTAATATATTTTTTTCAAA